TTTATCATTACAAGTTATTAGGAAATCTTTTAAGAAGCTCTGCATACCACGTTGGAAAGCTGGAGTAATTCATAAATTACACTGACACTTTTAATCAGCACAATCACTTTCCATAGAATCTAAAGTATTCATTAGGTGTTTATTGAAAAAAGGGCACATTTACTTAACGCATGGAGATTTGACAGGAAAATCTGATTAAGATTTTGTAATACTTTTTGCATACTTTTGTTAGATTATGATACGGGTATGTAAAGCCACAAAGCATTTTGAATCATATTCAGAGCTGCACCTCCTTCATATGGTTGAGATATTTTGATTAAAAAAACACAATACTATGATCAGACATCAAGGGCTTGAATTCTTAGTATCTACGTAAATGGGACTACCATCATGCTTGCCTCTGGCTTGCTCCATCACACATGAATGACAGTAGGGATTCTTGGTAGTCCTATATTGGCCCTTAAACTACTGCTGAAGATATCATGCAGAAGCTTCCATATAGTCTGAAGTGCCTGATCCTGCCTAATCTTGGAAGCTAAGCTGGTCCTGACCTGATTGAAACCTTGATGGGTGACTTAAATATTGTGAATTGCCCAGAGAGCTTTGGCTACAGGTGGTACAGAAATGTAATAATTAGTCTCAGCAAAAAATGCTGAAAAATAGTTCCAGCAACAGATTCTAACGTAATATAAGTAATGTGTGTATTCAATATACATGCCAAAAAATCATAGAAATTATAGCCAAAAATATCACCTTTCTAGCAATGTATGTTTTCACTAACACAGAAACCATTTTTCCAAGTAATTTAAAATGTTTTTTCACCATATGACAAAGATTTTCTATTAAAAAGTGTCTTTCTAATGAAATGTTTTAAAATATAAAATATTTTTCACATCTTTTTTCTTGTACTCTGATATCAAACAGATTTTCTGTTGTTGTTTGGTAGTTTTGAACAACAGCCACAAATTTAAATCAATTCACTAATGCTACTTTTCAATTTCAAATGAGAGTAGTTTGAAAAGCCATCCTTTTCAAACCCATCCATAATTCTATGGGCATTAAAAAGAAATATTGAACAGCTATAATATTCTATTAGTATGAAGCAAGCAATAAGATATACTAAGGTGAAACAACAGAATTGTACATGAGGCACTACAGAAGCAAAATAGTTGAGACTGAACCTTCTAACACTCACAGTCAAGTCAAGGGACACTTTCCAAAAAGGAAACAATCTTGAATTAGGGAAACACATGCATGCCTTTTAACTGTATTTTTATTAGAACAGGATCCTTCCATACACACATCAGCTTTTCAACTCACATATTCAAGGCAAAACACACAGCATGGTTCAGAGATAGGCCATGTTTGGATGTTGCATTAAGCCATGATTTAGAGCAACAAGAATGAACTCATGTACTCCCTCTTCCCCTCCCAAACTACTGTGCATTTGAGCCAAGTTCTGAAGCTTTTTCTTTTAATTAAGCATGGCTTGCCATGTCATTTGGACCAGGCAAATAGTTAGAACTATAATTAGTTTAAAATAAGCCAGTGTCAAACCATGATTTTTAAGCTAGGTTTGTAAACTGACTGCAGTTATGGTTTAAACACAGGAAGACATAGTTGATTAGAAACACAAATTTTAGAACTCTTCTTCTCAGTCACACAGGAAGAGGTGCGGAGTGTGCAAGCCTATGAGGAGCTCATGTGATGCAGAGCCATTGTTTGCCACAGCTTTCCCAAAGTTGCTACCTTCCAGATGTGTTGAAATAAAATTCCCATCATCTTCAAGTCATTATTTCCAGTTTAGTGTGAAGCATGAACATGGCTATTATCTACAGCAGGAAAAATGTCAGATGTGAAACAATTTTAAAGCTTAAATATTTCAACAGCAAGAATTCTTATTGTTTTATTTCCCTTAGTATATGTTAGTACGGAATACATTACCTAGCACTTTTCAGTATTCATTATTAACACTATTTCCATGAAGTCAAGTTTTAAACTGGTATCTACCAACACCTGCTCCAATGAGATGCCTTCCAACCTTCTATACCATACCAGAAGAATAGCCAAAAGGTAGATCAGGATCTACTCATGTATTGCTGGGTGATATGAAGCCTCTCATATTCACATGTTTAACATGAACAATAACAAAATTAATCTACCCTTCCCTGATGAAAATTTAAGAATACTTTGGGTAACCAGGAATGATTTGCATGTCCAACAACTATGAATTCTGGTCATGTTTTGTACTAAAAATGGATTCCTAGGCTCAGAATTATTTGATTCTAAGGTATGACTTTTGAACCAGGTTCTTACTGAAAGTTAACAAAGCAAGTGGTTTTTTTTAAAAGAAAGAAAGAAAGAAAGAAAGAAAGAAAACTGTAACCACGATCAGCCTTGAAAAAATTATGTTCTAAAGCAACTCTCAGCAGTTGCTCTATAGGCCTTATCTATATGCATTTAGCATCCATACATTAAGTAGTAGGAATTAAATATGTCCCTCTGAAATCAATGTAACTATTCCAGAGTATGTGTATTAGCATCCACCATTCACTGGTAGAAGCTTTAACCCTAATCCTGAACATTGGCAGTGTTTTAATAGATGCATAACAGAGGTTTTAATTATGGTGCAAGCTGATGACAGTCTACTGCAGCTACCAATACATTCTAGCCTAAATAAGAATATATTTAAATATATTTAAATAAAACACGTATCTTAAAATATCAAATGAACTGAGTAGTAGGATTTTATATTCTCCAAACAAAGCCTGCAGTCTTTGACCCTCTTGCATAGGGAATCCAGAACAGACATTTAAAAGCATTAATGAAATGGTAAAATGAGTAAATAAGACAAGTAGTCTGCTTAAACACAGTCCCAGGGCAATCAGGAGTAACAGAACATGGACCTCCAGTTCATAGTTTGTTTAGTGTTGGAGATTAAACAAGCCAGAGGTCCAGGTTCACACATGATGCAGGATAAGTCATGGGTCAAACGTTCATTCAGTTGCTCCCATTGTAAAAGGAAGTAACCAGGTAACACTCACAAACACACTACTCATAAAGAATAAGCCTGATTTATTTCCAAGTTGCATTCAGAAAGTATAAGAGGGATGGTTTAAGTTGGTGTCCTACAGTGAGTACAGGGTGGACCCGATGGCCTTCTGGCTCCTTCCAACTCTACTGTTCTATGATCTGCACTAAGGTTGTTTTTGATTTAACCTGCAATGTGTTTCAATGTTAGAGCAACTAGCAGTCATGTTAGTACTAGGTGTCCTCCCAATTTCAATCCCTATCAGCCCCAGCTAGCACGGTCAATGGTCATGAATGCTGAGAACTGCAGACCAAAACATTTGGAGAACAACAGTATGGAGAAAGCTGCATTACTGTAATATCCTCCTCCTGAAAGCTGGTATTTCCTCCATCATTGATTCCATGCAAGAAACTCCCAAGAAGAATTGCTGCCTCCCAGGCCAATATGAGGACTCTGAGTGTAGCAAACCCATAGATCACACAAGTGTACTTGTGCAGCTGCAGCTTCCTGCAAAGTGTACCTGAGTTTCCTCTGCTTAAAATCTGAAATGTCCCAAAGTCAAGGCCAACAAATAAAAAAAAAAAGATTTCAGTATTTTAAGAAGCCACGCCGACATACCTTAAATGGACAACTTACACAAGAAAATGGATAGTATGTCACCAAAATATGCTGATTTAAATCCCTGTAAGTTTACAACCCTATGCACACTTGAGCAAATATCTAAATGGGACTTACTGCACACAAAAGACATACATGGTTGTGGGCTATAAAATCAGTCAGTGATTATCTAGATAAAACAATAACATTTCTACTAAATGTTGCAGCTCTCAATACAACTACCCTGTTAGGTAGGTCAATATTATTAATCGCATGGATGGGGGGAAATGATGGGAAAAGCCATAGTGTTTCCTAGTCACCACTAAGAAGCCTCCATTCCCCACCCTGATACAAAGCAGCAGCTGTCTGACAAAAACCCAAGGAGGGAAGGCTGCTGCTGCTCCATCTTTATTTCAACCCCGAAATGCCAGGGATATTAATACACAAGCACGCACACTCTTCCCAGCCCTCATTTCAGCTTGTCCGCCATCCTGTTTCTACTTCTGTCCTTTTCACTTCACCACACAACTCTTTCCAGGGCCACCCCTTGCTTCCCATTTTTCAGCCCTTTCCTACCCCAGCCCGTCGTCCTGGCTTCTTCCACTCCTCCAACGGAGCCAAGAAGCCGAGCTTGCATGTTCGCCGCCCCCAAAACACAAAGTCCCCGCGGCTGAGATGCGAAGGAGAGGGAGGAAGTGGGCTCCCCCCTTTAACCTGCCTCCCCCTCCAGGCACACCGCGCTCCCCCGCGCGGGACCGTGCAGCGCTCAGCCAGCTACTGCGCGCTCCTGTCTGGACCATGCCCGTCGGCTCCCCCCGTCCCTCCCCCTCGCACTTTCTGGAAAGGCAAACCTGGCCCTTCTCTCTTTCTTGAACCCTGCTGAACTCCTAGCCTAGGGAACACAGGCAGGCATTCATGCACAATCGCACCCCCCCTCCATTTCCCAGGCCAGCACGCGACAGTAGTTCTCCCCACAGTTCCATGAAAAAAGAAAAGCCCCCTCCCATCCACTGCAAAACCGAGCCCTGAATTTCGGGAATCCCCCCAACACACACTTACGCGTTCGCCCTTCTGCTATTTCCTTCTCCACCCCCTCAACATCCCCCTTTTTCTCCTTGTCTCAAAGCCCCGAAGGAAAGGAAGGGCGGAGACGCGGATCCAAGGCTCCCCCTCCTCCCTTCCTTGCTTCCTTCCCTCCACACGGGCGCGATCGCTAGGCCCGGCGGCGATGGGACGGCGAGGAGGGTCGAGAAGGGCTTTGCCTTGCCGAAAGCCCGAAATCCGCCTCTCCAACTCCTCGCACGACCCCAGCGGCGGCCGCTACAAGTTTATGGCGGCTCGTTATGCTCCCTTTCTTCCTCCGCTTTCCTACCTGACCGCGAGACGAAGGGGGCGGTCTGCGTGTCGCGGGCTTCTCTGGGGGTTTCGGAACTCTCCGGCCCAGGAGGAGGGAAGCGGGAGCGGATTAATAATGGCAGGAGGAAGAGGAGGAGGCGGGCAGGAGAGGGGCGAGGAGAGGGTTTCTTGCCCCGGCGGCCTCAGTTCTTTGTCTTGGCGGCGGCGGCGGCGAGCTTCTCCCCCACCGCCCGACTGCTCTGCTCGTTGCTTTCCTCCTCCTCTCCTCCGGCGGCGGCTGCTTCCTTCCTTCCTTCGCCCAGCAGCCCGACGCAACTGGGCCGCGTCCTCCTGAAGGGCCACCGGCCTCACCCTGTTTCCTTTCTAGGGTTCCCCCCTCCCGGCTCGACGTGTCCAAGGCCCGGCGCTCCGACTGCCGCTCAGCTCAGCCTCAGAGCCCGGCGGCGGCGGCAGCTCCGGGCCCCTCCCCCTTCCACACAGGCAAGCGGTTCCCTCCCTCTTCTTCGCCTTCCTCCCCTGCCGCCGGGATCGCGTAGGGGGAGAGGCGGGGATGAGACCCATGAACAACCCCCCTTCTCCTCCTCCGCCTTCCTTTTCCTTTCCCCGGGCAGGATCTCTTCCTGCAACGAATCTTTTATTCCTGCTTTCCTCCCAGCGTCCCGGTCGGGTAGGCAAAGAAAGGCCAAGGAGGGAGGGGGAGAAACACCGAACAATTTTTTGAGAAGACGCTGCGAACGCCGCAGAGTCCTTCTTCCTATCCTGGCCTTCCCTCCCCCGCGCCCCGCCGTTGCAAGCGGCACCGTAGAAGTTTAGGAGGGACGCTTCGAGCTCTTGGCCTGCAACTCTTATGCACACTCCCTTCCGCCACAATAAGCCCCTCTGCGCTCTGTGGGACTTATTTCTGCATCAGGGATCGGATGAGAAGCAAGCAAATTAAGCGGCAGGTGCGAAGCAAATAAATGCTGCGCCGAATCCGTGGGGCTGAGTCGCGCTTAACTCCGCGAAAGCGCAGGCATCGAATCCGCGTCGGTGCGTGAGCGCGCGTGTATCTGCCGTAAATCACGTTGTGTTCTCCCCGGATCTTTGGTGCACTTCTGCGCCGCCTGTTAGCCTCACTTAACTCTCAGGCATTTCAATGGGGCTACTCTAAGTAAGAACTCGGTTAGGTGCAATCCGGGTTTGTTGATTTGCTTTTTTAAAGGCTGGAAGCCAAGGGCGTGCAGCAGCTCATCCGTCGGAGCGGGGTTGTCATCCTATTGCAAATTGCAGCCTAAATATGGACTCGATAAGAGGGATCAGATTTGAAAGTTTAAATGGCCGGTAGCCTGTGCGACGCTTTTCTTTGAGATCAAACGCACATCCACGCCTTTGGCACTATTGTGCCAAAGTTGCCAGTGACTCCCCTCCACCCACGCCCCCACTCTCCGTTCCTACTTAAGTCACTCGCCATCAAAACGATACTCAATCGGAAAAGAGACGGGGAGAAAAGTGCTTGGCGTCTTTTTTGTTTCTCCGGACAAGTTTTTCACGTCTCCCCAAGGAAATGGAAGAGACCGGACACAGCACCACATTCGACAGCTAAATATAGAAAGCTGCCAGTGTTACCATTCCCAAAAGTGCCACCTTAGAGAAGGGAACTTTCAGGAATAGCGTCATCGCATCCGAGAAGGCTGATTGGCCAGGATCGTGACGTCACTCTGGAAGCAAATGTTTTCGCGCGGCAGTACGGGCAGGAAAGAATGGATTTCTGCCGGTGTCGAGTGTGCGATGGGTGTGTTACCTTGCAACAGTGCCCGTGCCTTTAGTGCACAGAGTTACTAATGCTACGAATTGCACAAAAGTGACCTAGTAGGTCAGTTTAAGGTTTGGGAAATTTATTTTAGTTGGATCCGGGTTCACCATTCCTTGAGTAAGCCCACTGAAATCAGTGGCGCCACTGACTTAATTTCTATTGTTTTCAATTAGTTTACTTTTAAGGCTGCCTCTGTGTGTATCAAGCCTTTTATTTCCAGTTAAATTAATGATTAAATTAAATCATGGCTACTGAGGCATAAGATTCATTGAGTTGAATGGGGATGACTTTTGGATCAGTGGATATAGAATTGCAACCTTAATAGTCGGGCGTGGGTGCAGACTGTCGGGCAAAGGCTATCAAAACAGCGAAAAAAAGTCAAAGGTACAAATGCCAAACTAGTAACAGTGCAATCATAAACAGCCGTCCTGAGTTCCTTGCAAGAAGGAAGGCAGGGTACAAGTCTAATGTAACACTAATAATCAACAATAAACACTTCCGTAAACAAAGTCAACGCAGTGATGAATACCACAAATTATGCTTTACTCAGAAATAAGGCCTGCATTGTTTAATGGGGCATACTCCTAGCTAAGTATAGCTAAGACTGCAACAGAAAAGAGTAAGATAACACAAACCCACAAAATAGTATAAACCATTGAAAGTGTGGAGGGTGGAGGAATCTTTGCCTAGTATCAACACTATAGCAATATACCTAGGCAATATGCCTATAACCCAGGAAGTCTGCTGAGTAGGTATGTACTGAGCTAATGGTCTGACTTGATACAATGTAGCCTTCTCTTTTTTCCTAATTAGTAGAAAATAAACATTTTAACTTTACCTGGATCATTGCCACACACCAGCAAATTACAAGAAGTATAATTTTAATTGCTTAACAGTGCAATTTTATACACATTTACTCAGAGATAAGCCCATTTAGTTTGATGGGATATATTCCCAGGAAACCTTGTCCAGGATTGCAGCCTAATTTATATATAAAGGATAATAGTATGTACCAGCACTTAAACTGGAATTTCCTGATCTTTTTAGCAATTAAGACTTGTCTTCCTTTTCTCCTGCAGTGTTAAAATATTTGTTACATTTACTATATTTTCCTCCAATATAGTAAATGTATAGCCTGAGGTGGGGTATATGATCCGCTTCCTCGCCATTTAATCCCCCAACAACCCTGAGAGTGAGGGACTGGCTCAGAGCTGCACAGTGTTAAGTCAGTTTCCCCTGTTCCAGCCCTACATTGCAAGCATCATACCTACATGCTGGGGCTCAGTAGCAGCCCTGTACTGAGCATGATTCTAGAGGTTGCAGTTCTATGCATGTTTAGACAAAAAAAAAAATCTTCTGTTGAAAGATGCATAGCATTGCATGATAATAAGCATTTACTAAGAAATAGTGGGACATATCCCCTAAGGTTTCTAGTCTTAGGGGGTATATAAAATATTTTAAATCTCCCTGATTTCAATGGGAGACTTATGCAAAACTTGGTCCTAGGTAGAACTGGGCTAACATTAGCTTGGGCCTGCCTAACTTTGCATACATTCAAGTTATAGATGTCTTCCATTGAAATAAATGGGATTTAAGGATTATTATTATTATTATTATTATTATTATTATTATTATAGCATTTCTATGCCGCCCCTTGCCGAAACCTCGGGGCGGCTTACAACATGATAAAATACATTGAAATACAATAGGATACAATTCCATGCTTATTTGTATGGGAAAAAAGTCCTGCATCGTGGCAGTTGTAGAATTTTTTTCTGTCTAATCGTATATAGGATTGTCTCTTAAAAGGCTTTTGGCCTGTGTATTGAATACAAGCATATAATCTACTTTATCAGTACTAAATGCAATGAGCAGAACATATTCAAAATCCTTAATTAGTTATCAGCAAATCACTTATGAATCCCTGGCACGGTGATTCTAATTCAGGAGGACAGTAACATAGCTTCTTTTCTCACATAACTGCATGACTGTTGAATTGTCAATGACATTTACTAAAAATAGGTTGAGACAAGATTTGAGAACTGAAAATACTTGCACATTCCTGTTCTCAGTGTAAGAAATTATCAAAGGATGGGTCTTCTTTAACACTGTAATGGACATTAAGTGTCAAATTTAGATGCTGTTACCATCCATTACTTTTATTATTCTAAACGGCATCTTCTGTTTCTCCTGAGAGATCTTAGGGGAAAAGTGGAGACAATAAAATAGTAAATACCAATTTAACTGAGGGCCAATTTGCATAAAATCACACCAGATAAGAACCGTTACTATATAGGAAGCTATTAGTGTAGCACCTTGCTGTACTGGTCACCCAGTTTTTACCTCAGAACACACATTTCTCCCCAGCTGCTTTGGTTTTGTTTGAAATCTCTAGCATGGTGAGCTTTGTGACATCCATTCAGCCGCCCTCTGCACAGGAATACTTTGCCACATGGTAAGAGCTACCATGCAAGTGGAGTGCAAAGCAGCCTACCCTTGAAAACAGGTGGCAATTTCAAATGCACTCACTCGGGCGATTATCCATTGAATTTAACGGGGCTTGCTCCCAGGATGATATGATCATGCTGCACGCACACACAGACCAACCCCAAGAGGTTTCTGAATTTGGGATGCTGCATTTTGTTTTGTTTTTGCCACCTTCCATTACCAAAATTATTTCAGACACATTCAGAAAAATACCCTCTTTGGCTTGGGATATGCAAACCACTTTTTTAGCCTATCCTAAATACTGCAGAACATGTTTAAGTATTTTCCTGGAGTGTACAATCTTCTTTCTTGCAGAAATATTCAATATGATGTAGCTTATCTTTTTCCTTTAGATCTCAAAAAGAGAACTGTAGCAGCCAGAGAACTCAAGCAGGTGAGTTGCTGGCCTGCAGCTTCCATCATTCCCAGCCCGCATGGCCAGTGCAGGATACTATGGGAAATGCAAGTGGAAGGCACCGGGTGAGGAAGGGCTCAACTAGTCTAGGCAGATACCCTGCACTTAAATAGCATTAAACAGTAACTTGAAATTGTTTAATTCCCTAAATAAGTTTTAAGAATGAATTGTTTTGTACAGGCTCTTTTAAAAAATGAAAATTTCTAGCATAGGTGGCAGATAGACTGGTGATGTCTGACAACTGAATTAATAATCTCCTCTTTTTTGCACAAGGTTTCTTGGTTGTTATTTCATTGTGAGTGAAGGTCCATGAAAAACCAGGAGCGGAATGGTTGCATAGTTTAAAAAATGGTATATAACGGGTTGACTCCAGATTTATGCATGTCTAGAGTAGACTCGCTGAAATGAATGGGACTTAGGTTAGTTATGACTATTGTAGCATAATTAAAAATACAATCCTATGCAAGTTTAGAGAAAAAAATTCCTACAAGTCCCAACATTGCCCAACTAGTTGTGGGACTCATTTCTCTCTAAACATGCCTAGGAGTCCAACCCACTGTTTCCTGTATGCCCCTGAAAGGAATGAAGAAAGCCACTGAGAAGGTGGGATTCGACAATAAATTTAGAGTCTGGTCTACAGGATAGAGATGTACTATGATTCTGTAAATAAACCACTTGAAGTAGCTGCAAATTCTGTTCCAGAT